TACACAAGTCTTACAAGGCAAAACTGATATTCTAGTTCTATGAAACACGAAGTGGCGGCGTGGCTACCGACTTGAGACAGACCATCGTTTTACCAATCCATGAGGCGTGGGATAAGTCACTGAACGAAAACTATTGCCTCAAAATTGATATAGCAGGTGCCGTCAACTTTATACGTTGCCGATTTTTTTTGCGCCATGTAAGAACTAAACCAAACTAAACTTGGTTAAAAGCAGAGCGTGAATGCGTCGACAGACTAATTTGCGTTCGACCCGGTGGTGAGCAATAATATGTACAGTTCCCTCAGAAGCTAAACTGGATGGGCAGCAGGACACAACCGAGTCAGTGGCTTAAATAAACAGACACGTATTGTAATGGTCCTCATCACAGCATTTTTTCCAGCTGAAAAAATGTTAGCATTTAGATACGTTCTCAGATTTTGCCATGGCAATCAGTAGCCAACAATTATCCGCTCCCTTGATCTTGCAGTGCCTTAATCGCACCTGTCATACGTTCTGAACTTATAGCAGAAGTAGTTCTTTAACAGAAGATATCTGTTACGATTATTAAGTGCCAACTTGGATAAGTGAACAGTTTTTTGCCTGAAATCATATCAGTGAAGCAGTACACCCACATCACGAACGAACAAATAGCGATTCTGGTGTTGCCAAGTGGTTGTTAGCCGATGAGTCCGCTTGATAAAATCCTCATCAATATTAGATTTTACCGGTCGTCAATCTAAGTAATTTCCTACTATGATTGTGGATGATAAAATACAAGAGCCGAAGACCAGCAAAAATTTATACCAGCCCACAGCAGAGTGAGTGGTTTATTTTGGATAAAACGGTTAATACATGAAGGTATGACACCGCGACTGACTCAGGCCATTCTAAAAAGGGAGATGAAAACTATTGAATGAGTTCTTTATCTTTCGCATCCTTGTCTAAGCACCATTTTTTTCAAATCGAAAGGAATTACCCTATCTGACACAGGTGTGACCATCTCCGAAAATAACAAAAAACAGTCTAGAATTCATCACCCAGGGAGAGGCAGTCCTAGACAGTAATAATGACAGCTAAGTCAAAGGGGTTATCAGCTATATGCAGCAAATTCCAGTGCGAGTTGCCGAAATGGAGTCACGATAGGCAGACATGCGAAAC